GAAATCTAAATATTTTGTATGTAATTTTATGGTTTCAAGAACAGATATTTTGTACATAATTTTATACTTTCAGGGTAAACATTTCTTTTAGATATATAGTTTGTAGATCATTCTTTTAGATAGTTTGTAGATCATAAATGTATTCTTGATAATTTTTTAAATGTATTGCTGGTACTTTCACTACAAAAATGCATTGTTGATAACTTCTTTTATACAAAAATGTATTGCGGATAATTTTACTATAAAAATGTATCTCAACAATTTTACTAAAGTAACTAGAGATGCGACCTGATGAACTAGAAAAATATATTTTCTGGGGAAATAAATTATAGTCATGGAATGTTAAACTTGTCTCTTTCTTAATTATTTAATTAATATTTGCTCTTTTATTACATTGTGCTCTCTGTATTGAATCCTCTTTGGAATTATCCACACAGATTCCCAAACCCTTCATCACCTTACTATATATATATATATATATATATGATATTATATGAAAAGGCTACTTTTAAATATCAATTTTATTCAGACATCAATGTTTCTTGGTAAAATTTCTAGTTTTTCAAAACCGGTTTTTAAATTTTTTTTTTTTTTTTTTTATATGTGTATTCATGAATTTAATGTATATATATATATATATATATATATATATATATATATATATATATATATAAAAATTGTTTCTTAAACAACTGCAGACAAACTTCTGTGCATATCAAAGCTTGGGAAATTTGGACAGTGGTACTTTATAGGAGGGTCTTGAACATTTGTAGTCTTTGAATAATGGAGGGAAATTTGGGAAGCAATTAACTACATTAGATGTTGACATATATATATATATATATATGATAAAAATATAGTTTCACGGTATGGTATATTTATGGCTTAAAGTGGTCAATATAAGAGATAGAGCATATAGAAATATAAAAATGTATATTGAAGTCAACACCCAGAGGTAACAGTCTGTTTCATGTTTAAGCATAATCGTCAGGCCATATTGCATTTAGTCATGAAACAGACTGTCACCTCTGTGTATTGACTTCAATGTCATGATATATATATATATATATATATATATAAATTTACATAACAGATAAATTCAAAATTACCTCATGAATATAGTCTACTTCAACTAATGCTGAATGCGTCAACCTTATTCAACCCAGACAGTGAACTGTATTCAGTGTCAGAACTAGAGATTTAAAATTTAATATTTAACAAAAATAGCTGTTGAAAAATTGATACAGAGCCAACCCATAACACAGCAGACAGAATAAACTGCCTGAGTGGTGGTAAAGGGAGGATGGAAGTTAACTGTTTTAAAAGGAAAGAAGCTCCACAACTTCAACCCAAATATTAACCTTAAGACCCCAAATTGGTATTATAAGAAAGATGAAGTGAAACTAAAGGAAGGCTGAAAAAAGGAGTTTTATGAAACAAAATTTTTAATTATTAATTATATAAAAAATTTGTTCCCACTAAAAATTGCCAAAATATGCTTATAAGTAGGATATAAATAAATAAGATATAAAAAGGTTAACATTAAATCATATTTAGATTATAGTAGAAAGAATATATTAAAAAATTAATGAATAAAAATAAAAAAATTATATTTATTAAAATTTTTAAGATAAGTTAAATTATTAAGGATACAAACCATACCCAGTAATAAATAAAAAAACAGAAACCTTTTAAAAAAAATAAAAGAATAAAGAATTAAGTAATCAAAGAAAAGGGATTTTATAAAGTAGTGGAAGTTTATAAGATAGGATTGATATGGAGAAGAGAAAACATAAAAATAACTATAGTAATATGTTTACCATTAGAAGGAATAGATAATTTAAAATTAAAGTAAGATCAAAAATATAGAAGTTTAAACCTATGATGACATTTGGCATTAGTTGAAATAAACTATACTCATGAGGTAATTTTGGATTTCTCTGTTATGTAATTTATATGCCTTGTTATAATAAATACATTGAGCACTTTTTGTTGATCAGTCTTAGTATTTTATATTATTAGGATTCACTTGGATTATATACCAACAGATTTATTACTTGCACTATATATATATATATATATATATATATATATATAAATGTAGTTTTAAGGTAAGCCTTTATTTATGGGTTAAAGAGCTTAATATCAGGAATAGAGCATATGTAAATATAAAAGTGGACATTGAGGTCAACACACAGCAACAGTCTGTTTCATGTTTAAATGCAATCTTCAGGTCATGTGTGTTGTATTTTGGCTTGACTCTTTATATATGCTAATAGTGTATTATGAGTAAGTCTCTTCTATTATTCTAATGGTTATTGGGTGGTAAGTAATGGTTAAAATTATTCTAGTGGCTATTGCGTAGAAATAATTCTGGATCCAAATGCAGTTTTGTGTCTATTTTATAGTGTTGTTTTTAACTTTTTTTTACCCATTATTTATTATTGATTACTTTATTATTTGTTGTTAATTGTTATTACTTCATTTATTCATGTTTCTGTGTACATTCTTATTTTTTAATTTGTTTATTATTTACTTAATTTGTTTACTTATTTACCAATTTGAATAATAGTAAAAATTTGTTTTCATTTCTGCATTTTGAGATGAGTTCTGACCATTTCTTTCATAATTTGTTTTGGTTTGCAAAGGTAACTATAACTATTTTCTCCTTACAGTTTACAGTTTTAGGATTTGTTGTTCTCGTATTATGCTGTTTTCCTTATTTTCCATGATATTTTTGGTGAGATTTGGTTTTTGTTTTAATTTCTCATACATATTTAGAAAGTATTGTGCTGTTTGCATATTTACTATTTGAAAAAAGATGTTTTGTATTTCAGAGATTTCCAGTATTGTTCAGTTACTCCTATGTATATTTTTTCTTTGTTATCTACTGATTTTACAGTGGTTTGGTATATCACATTGTTCAGCAAGCAATTGTTGTTTAAGAGACATTCGTTCTTTGCTCTGCTGTTACATGTGAGTTTGATTTGTGAAGGTAGTTCGTTGTTTTTTTTCCTGTTGTGCTTTTTTTATTATTTGTGTTATCTTCTCAGTGCAACTTCAGCTAACTTTTACTGTGTTTTCATTAATGTGACAAAGTGTTTGTGTGTGAGTTTAATAAATATTATTCTCATGTTTATTTTTATATTTTTGTTATATGATGTGTTGAACTATATGATGCTTCTTTTCCTGTTGCTATTTTTTTTCTGCTGTATGGGGTGTATGCAAATGTTGCCAAAAATCCATTATCATCTCAGGCTGTTTCATAATCTTTCTTAGTTTCGTTCCACACTTTTCTTCACAAGACATAATTCAAAAGCATAAGGATTTAATCAATATGTAGACATTCCACACTAATTCATGGAAAACTTAGGAAGGAAACTTACATCAATAATGGAAAGAGTGATAACAGCTATTGGACTTGAAAAACCTAATCTTGCCATTACCATATTTATGAAGACTACTCACAATTGAAGTTCCTTTTGTAGATATTTGTGACACCTTGCTGAGCCAGTGTATATTTCTGCCCTATTTACAATTGAATTCATTGAGACATAGATGCATTTTATCTACACTTTTCCTCAACAAGACATGAAAAGACATTTAACTCAGAGAAAATAATGACATTATCAAGATGTAGACATTCCACATGACTTCAAACATAAAGATTAAGAAGGAAGTTCCCATCAATAGTTGAAAGAGCAATAACAGTTACCGGACTTGAGAAACTTATTTTTCAGAAAGATTTTTATAGAAAGATTTTATAAATGTCAACCAAAGCTCTGGCTGCATGGTCAATGAATATCAAATATTTCCTGATAAAGATACAGCTAATACCTCCATATATAACCTTTTTATAACTTATAACTTGAGTAGCACTGGCTGCCAGATCATGAAATACCAAGGTTTCCTTGTAACCTTTATCACTCTGTATGTGACTTCATTTGCTGTACAAAAAGTTTATCCTAGAACTGAATGTGACTCTGATCCTTGAACAATAATTGTGTTGTTATATCCTGCTATGGCAACGGTAAACAATTTTCAGTGAAATCTTACTTATTATAAAACGCAGATTGTGTGTGTGTGTGTCTGTACGTTTATATATTGGATCGGATTTCCTACATTTTTCAACCGATTTCAACAAAACTTCACAGAACTGCGTAAAATTACCTTGCGATGGTTCTGACAGCACCAAAAATTGGAAAAACACAATTGTTTTTGCACAAAATCAATTTGAAAACACGATAAAACACGATTCTGTTGCCAGAATGAAAGGGGGACAACTCATATCGAGTTATACTTATTATAAAACCCAGGTTGTTTGTGTGTGTGTGTTCATTTATATATGGGATCGGATTTCCTAAATTTTCAAACGATTTAAAAAAAAACTTCACTTTTTTTGGCAGGTACTATTTCTTATTGTCTTGCACACTTTTTTCTTTATTTTTACATTCAGAATGCTTTAAAAATTCCATTTACAAGACAATTGTTTATAATAAAATTCTATTCAATCGATAGACTCATAACGATTGAAAACAATGTTTTTGTTTGAGTTTGGGTTTGACTAATTCGTAAAAAAAAACAACCATCAACCTTAAACAATAATTTTTGTAAATTTTATTTTTCAATCTTTATGATGGTCGATACTTGATCTATCTCTTACAGTTACATCCCTGGGCAACGCCGGTCTCTACTGCTAGTTAACAATAAGGATACTGCGATTGAGAGGCCTTGAAAAAGAATGCAGTAGCAAGGGAAGTAATGATAATAATGCAGACTGGTGAAGAAGATTAAGGAGAATGGTTAATATTACCATTACATCTTAAAAAGTTGCTTTCATGTCGTGTTCAGAGCTATACACAACCTGTTTTTGATTTCGTAATTTGAGTATAGCATGTGTGTTGATTCTTTCAATTTTCTTATTTTCAAATGTTGTTCTAGGTTTATTATTTTGCTGGATGATTATCAGGAATATACAGAAGATATCGTTGAATATTATGCTAATTCAGCAAAAGTATTTTCACTGAGAATAGGCAATTATGCACAAAAAAATAATTTGTAGAATTGGATGAAAAAAAGACATTTGGAAAAAATTTAGACATTTGGAAAAAAGAAAAAGGAAAAAAGACATTTGGAAAAAAAACAAGAGGAAAAAAGACATTTGGAGGAAAAAAGAAAAAAAAGACATTTGGAAAAAAAAAAAAAAAAATCGACATTTGGAGAAAAAAAAGGAAAAAAAAAGACATTTGGAAAAATTTGGAAAAAAGACATTTGGAAAAAAAATTGAGAAAAAAAACATTTGGTGGAAAAAAAGAAATTTGGAAAAATTGGAGGAAAAAAAACATTTGGAAAAATTTGGAGGAAAAAAAGAAAATATTTGGAAAAAATTGGAGGAAAAAAAAAAACATTTGGAAAAAAAAAAAAAAAAAAAAAGACATTTGGAAAAAATTGGAGGAAAAAAGACATTTGGAAAAAAGAAGAAAAAAAAAAAAGACATTTGGAAAAATTGGAGGAAAAAAGACATTTGGAAAAATTGGAAACAAAAAAAGACATTTGGAAAAAAAAAAGGAAAAAAAGACATTGGGGAAAAAATTGGAGAAAAAAAAACATTTGGAAAAAAACAAGAAAAAAAAAACATTTGGAAAAAAAAAGAAAAAAAAGACATTTGGAAAAAATTGGAGGAAAAAAGATTTTTGGAAAAATTGGAGGAAAAAAAAGACATTTGGAAAAATTGGAGGAAAAAAGACATTTGGAAAAATTGGAGGAAAAAAAAAACATTTGGAAAAAAACAAGGAAAAAAAGACATTTGGAAAAAAAAACAAGGAAAAAAAAGACATTTGGAAAAAAGAAAAAAAAAAGACATTTGGAAAAAATGAGAAAAAAAGAATTTGGAAAAAAAAAAAAAAACATTTGGAAAAAATTGGAGGAAAAAAAGACATTTGGAAAAAATTGGAGGAAAAAAAGACATTTGGAAAAAATTGGAGGAAAAAAAGACATTTGGAAAAAATTGGAGGAAAAAAAGACATTTGGAAAAAATTGGAGGAAAAAAAGACATTTGGAAAAAAAAAAAAGGAAAAAAACATTTGGAAAAAATTGGAAGGAAAAAAGATATTTTGGAAAAAAAAAAAAAAAAAAGACATTTGGAAAAAATTGGAGGAAAAAAAGACATTTGGTGGAAAAAAAGGAAAAAGACATTTGTGGAGGAAAAAAATGGAGGAAAAAAGACATTTGGAAAAAAAAAACAAGGAAAAAAAGACATTTGGAAAAAAACAAGGAAAAAAAAGACATTTGGAAAAAAACAGGAAAAAAGACATTTGGAAAAAAACAAGGAAAAAAGACATTTGGAAAAAAACAAGGAAAAAAGACATTTGGAAAAAAAACAAGGAAAAAGACATTTGGTGGAAAAAACAAGGAAAAAAAGACATTTGGAAAAAATTGGAAATTGGAAAAAATTGAAAAAAAAAAAAAGACATTTGGAAAAAATCAAAGAAACAAAGGAAAAAATTTGAAAAAATTTGGAAAAAAAAAAAAAAATTTGTGAGGAAAAAAAAGGAAAAAAGACATTTGGAAAAAAAAAGGAAAAAAAAACATTTGGAAAAAAAAAAAACAGGAAAAAAAGACATTTGGAAAAAAAACAAGGAGGAAAAAAGACATTTGGAAAAAAAAAAGGAAAAAAGATTTGGAAAAATTGGAGGAAAAAAAAGATTTTTGAAAAAATTGGAGAAAAAAAGACATTTGGAAAAAAAAAGGAAAAAAAAAGACATTTGGAAAAAAAAAAGGAAAAAGACATTTGGAAAAAAAAAAGGAAAAAAGACATTTGGGAAAAAAAAAAAAAAAGACATTTGGAAAAAAATTGGAAAAAAAACATTTGGAAAAAATTGGAAAAAAAAAGACATTTGGAAAAAATTGGAAAAACACGGTGAAAATTGAGGAAAAAAGACATTTGGAAAAAATTGGAGGAAAAAATTTTCATTTAAAAAAAAAAAACAAGGAAAAAGACATTTGGAAAAAAAATGGAAAAAAAAAAGACATTTGGAAAAAATTGGAAAAAAAAAAAGACATTTGGAAAAAAAACATTTAAAAAGACATTTGGAAAAAATTGGAGGAAAAAAAGACATTTGGAAAAAATTGGAGGAAAAAAAGACATTTGGAAAAAATTGGAGGAAAAAAAGACATTTGGAAAAAATTGGAGGAAAAAAAGACATTTGGAAAAAATTGGAGGAAAAAAAGACATTTGGAAAAAATTGGAGGAAAAAAAAAACATTTTTTGAAAATTTTGGAAAAAAAAAGACATTTGGAAAAAATTGGAGGAAAAAAAGAATTTTGGAAAAAATTGAAAAAAAAAGACAAAACAAGAAAAAAATTTTTTGGAGACATTTGGAAAAATTGGAAAAAAAACATTTGGAAAAAAAATTGGAGGAAAAAAAGACATTTGGAAAAAATTGGAAAAAAAGAAAATTTTTGGAGAAAAAAACAAGGAAAAAAAAGACATTTGAAAAAAAAAAGGAAAAAAAAGACATTTGGAAAAAATTGGAAAGAAAAAAGACATTTGGAAAAAATTGGAGGAAAAGACATTTGGAAAAGAAGGAAAAAAAAAAAAGACATTTGGAAAAAAAAAAAGGAAAAAAGACATTTGGAAAAAAAAAAAGGAAAAAAACATTTGGGAAAAAAAAAGGAAAAAAAATTTTTTGGAAAAAATTGGAGAAAAAGATTTTTAAAAAAAAAAGGAAAAAAAAAGACATTTGGAAAAAATGAGGAAAAAAGAATTTGACATTTGGAAAAATTGGAGGGAAAAAAAGACATTTGGGAAAAAAAAGGAAAAAAAGACATTTGGAAAAAAAACAGGAAAAAAAACATTTGGTGGAAAAAAACAAAAAAAAAGACATTTGGAAAAAAAAAAAAAAAAAAAAATTTGGAAAAAAAACAAAAAAAAAAAACATTTTTGGAAAAAATTGGATTTTTTTGAAAAATTAAAAAAGAAAAAAGACATTTGGAAAAAAAACAAGAGGAAAAAAGGACAAATTGAGAAAAAAAAACAAAAAAAAAAAAAAAAAAAGGAAAAAAAAAACATTTTGGAAAAAATTGGAGGAAAAAAAAAAACATTTTTTTAAAAAAAAGGAAAAAAATTTTGGAAAAATAAAACAAAAAAAAATCCATTGATTTTTTTTTTTTTTTTTTTATGCATTTTTTTTTTTTTTTTTATTTTTTTTTAAAAGCAATTGCATCTTTTCACCTTAGAGTTGTACTGTGATCTTTCTTCTCGGCAAAATGCTCAACTAATTCAAAGAATGCGGATGTACTATTCTTTATAAAGAAACACATGCTAAGCACATTTCACTCAGAAAAAAAAAGAGAGAGAAGAATTATTTTCATTTGTTATAATTGTTTTATTTTTCTTACTTTTTTTGTTTTCAAATAATTCTTTATTTGAGCTGGTTGGCTTGATCTGCCAAGATTAAGCTGATAAATTAGACACTGAACATTCTTGCGATAAACTAAAGAGAATCAGCCATTTTTGTTCTTTCTTGGTTAATGGTTGATGGATGCTGTATAAATACAGTTGGTAATAAATAAAGTGAAGAATAAATTGAGGTTTTTCAGAGTTTTCTCTTTTGATAAAGAAAATGTTCATGACTATTGGTGTCCTTCCTTCAGAGAACTGAGATTTGGCAATTTCCCTAAAATTTCTGCTTACATTTCTGGTAATTTAAAAATGTTAATCTGTTCTTTTTTTAGTCCTTTTCTCATCAAGAAATATGAATTCATCATTATATTACTCATTTTTCACATGGAGAATACATATCTCACTTTCTACATGGGATTGGTTCCAAGAATGTCTTTGGTTACCAAAAATTTTCTAGATACTCAGGCACCTTAAAAAATGGTGTAGTATTTATATATAACATGTATATATCCTTCCATCATCTTAAGATTACTTGTAATAGCTAACATTATTATTGCTATGTAAACTATCTCATATTTTATTATGTAATATGTATATATTTATATGAAAATTATACTGTATGAATTTTAACTTATAATATTTGTTTTTATCATAAATATATACAGTGACTTAGTTTTGTATGATTTTATTATGTAACTCAAGGTTTGTTTATGGTATCTCAATAAATAACAGTAAATTCTGTCTGTACGTTCATGTGTGTGAAACCCTTCTAACTTGGGTCATACTTGCTCTACATAGACATATCATGCCTTTATGGAATCAGGATAATCCCAGCATTGAAAATCTGCCCTTCATCTTGTGCTTGAAAATCTAGCATTGGGATTTGTGTTTGGATGAGGAGGGAATAGTAAAAAATTCAAATTTTAAAATAACTGAAAAAAATTATTGCTTTTAAAAGTTTTTAATTTATATTGAATTTAAAGTAAGACAAAAGCTTTGTGTATTTAAAATAATTGTTTTAAATTCAATTTAAAATATCTCCAAAACTTTGTGAATTGAGGAAATCAATTTTATTTTTTTCAAAATGCCAAGGAATCAGAGTTAATGTGAGAAGATTCGTGATGTGAGATTTGAAGTTCCACAGAGTTTGTGATTTGAAGCACTTAATTTTCACCTGAATTGGAATTTTGGAGTTTCACCCCAATTCAGTCTTTTGGCTGGAATTGGAATTATAGCCTGAATCAGAGTTAAAGTGAGGTTTTGAAGTTCTATGACATGAATTGAAGAATTCAAAGTTATTTCTTCAAAATTATCATTGCTTTTTTTTTTTTTTTCAAGCTGGACAAGAGTTTCCTTTTGTTTGAAGCTTGAGACCTAATTAACACTCCACAAGATCTAGTTTAAAAGTTCAATCAGAGTGCAGCTTTTAAACTAGTTATAAATATACACACTCCACTAGGAAATAACAAAAACATTGAAAACCTTTAATAAATTTAGTGCAATTTTTTTAAAAGTGAGTCCAGATTTTTATAAAAATTATTTTAAGGTATTTACTTTATTTCAGTAAATCTAGTTCTTATTCATCATTTTACAATGCTTGTTTATCATTAAGCCCTTCCCTGCCAATTATTTTAGGAAAAAATGTTTCATTTTCAGACAAATTTTTTTATTTGTTTTTAATATGTAACTAAGAAACTGAGGCACCTTGAAGTACTCGATCAGTGGCTAACACCTTTACTAGATGTATGAGTTGACAACTGGACTTGTTTCAAGCTCAGAAGAGCATAAAAAAGAATCAAGATTTACATATAAACACGTCCGTAGCTGGCTTTTGATTGTCATGTTTGGGATGTGTTTATTTGTCCATGTCTGAAAAAGACACTTTCAGTAACAACATATATACACATCTACACCAGGAAAGGGGTTAAAAAAAAACTCTCATGTAATAAAAACTTCAAAAGTTTAGTCAGATTATTGAAACTTTATTTAGAAAGAGATTAATGTTTTATAGCATCACTTTTCGCCTTCAAGTTTTCTTATTTCAAGAACATAGTTTGAAAGATTTTCTCCTAGGCATTCATTGGATATTACTTGTGAACATAAGGTCAAATTGAGATCTCTATCCTTGATTAGCAACCTATATAGGAGAAGTACAACTCTGAATTCAAAACTGGTTAGACATGGGGCTGGCAACAACACCCTGTAAAAAAAAACCCCTACTTATTAGGGAAACCAGAGCAGCATTACCTAGTGGAGGATATTGTCCTATTCTCCACAGGGGAGACTTATGGCACTGAGGAGGGAGAGTACCATACAGAGCTCTTGCCCTCATTCTCCAAAAATGTTCTATGGGATTCAGGTCTTGAGACAAGGCAAACCACTTCATTACAGAGGAAAAGTGATGACTAAAATATGAAGCAGTTATCTTTGCATTGCATTGCTGAAATATTTGCTTGTTTCTTTCTTCTCATTATTAGTATATTTGGGATCATTTTGTTTTCTAGTATCTGTTGGTACTTGAGTTGTGTCAATGTTCAATTAAGTAGTAAAGTCAACCCATACCATAATTACTCCACCACCAAACCAATTCATAGAACATTTTGGTGTTTCTAATCAAAACTCAAAAAGCTGCAGTAGTTAGGCTTATCAAGCCTGAAGAGCTTTTTATCATTCCAGATTCTGCAGATTTTCCAGATTTTGAAGATCAGTGCATTCTTTGAGAATTATCTCTAACTCATTGGTATTTGGTTTCTTTTGGGATTTATGCAAACACAGTTTTTTCTTAGTTCTTGCCACATTCATGTGATGTCACAAACAAATTCAAATTGAATGTATATTATTTACATTGAATATAGTAAAAATGACTCAATAAACCAATGGATCACATTTAAAATAAAGGTACAAAGTCATTCCATAATCTTAACAAAATGAACTTTGATTTTTAACAATGACTGGAGTCAGTTAAAAGCTAAAATTCATATTAAACTGACATGAAAAATGACAAGTAAAAAAAAAAATATCAATCTTTTCAATTTTTGTGAATAAATTCTAGAAGAATTACTTTAAAATTGGATAGTTTGCTCTTAAAGGTATATCAATTTGATATATGTAAATAATATAGCAGTATGTAAATATGTAAATGAGAACTTTTTGTGCCGCTGATATATCCTTAACACTTGCCATTTATGACACTGGTCAACAATATGCTGAAGATTCTCCTCTTTTTATACCGATATTTTAACACTGAGAATACTGTGTTCATATGTAGAGGATTAAATAAATTTCAATTGGCAGAGAGGAAATTCCAACCTATTTACACATGCAAAGATATATGAAGAAAAATATACGGAAAAAACAAACAAAAATCCTAATATGCAATTATGCTGTTTTAATGTTAATATAATGTCAATGTCGGACGTTTCAGTCTAATAGACCATCTTCAGGACATATTCATAAAACATAATTAACATTAGACTATATTTAATTCAACATGAAAAGACGATGGACATAAGTGTAAGACTAATCAAAATATCTACTAGACCGAAACGTCCGATGTTGACATTATATTAACATTAAAACAGCATAATTGCATATTAGGATTTTTTTTGTTTTTTCATATATATTTTTTTCATACTTTTCGGATCTATATCTATATATTTATTATATATACACACAAACATATAGAAAAATATTTAATTTATATTTTTTTCTTACCATATCTTTGAAAAATAACACATCAATTTCAACAAAACAGTGTTTTTTAAACTTTCCTTTATGTTTTGTTCGTTTATATATTTCATATAAGTTTCGTTAAAATTGATCTGTTATTTTTTTTTAGATATGTAAGAAAAACCAATATGTTAAATAAAAAATTTTTATATATATATATATATATATATATATATATATATAACTTTAAAAGTTGTTATGATGTTGATTTGGGGTTAATAAGACAAATGCCAAATAACACGTAACAATAAAAAGGGGTTTTATTCGGTTGGTAAGTAGATACAGAAATCGCCTGAGTAGTCTATAACTAACTCAGCCAAGAACTTCTCCGACTCTGTCTGTCTTTTGACATGCCACTATTTAACATCTTTGTTTGTAGACAAGTTCATCTTCAAGAGGGGTAGTAGGTTTTCTACACAACAAAGGTTCATACTGTACAAGGCCCATGGGTCACTCAAAGTAGAGGATTACGTTAAGGGGCAGTTTATGTGGATAGGAGGAGAAGATAACAGTTGACTCTAGACTTAAACAGGTTAAGATTTTAGAGATCCGTGAAATATCATCTTGGGAGTCTATTTCCAACGTTCAATTAAATATGAATAATCTGTTTGAGGAAATTAATATTCTATTGATGGAATACGAAGGGAATGTGAGTGGTTTGTTACTATACTAGCCATGAAGGTCAGACTTGTTGAAATCAAGAGATGCAGTTTGAATGACCACTTTCCATGTCATTACCGATAGAGCAGTGAG